GCATTATGGTTCCATTGAAGACTCAACACTACAGATCTCAAAAATCTTACCTTTAGACAGCAGGCTCGCAAAATCTCTTTCCTCCAAACAGGGATAAGGCTGGCCCTTAATCAGCTCGTTACAACCACCTTAAAAAGGTTTGTCTCCTCTTCAGCATGAGCAGTTCTTCCCTGAAGTACAATAATAGGGTTAATTAGCTGCCAGTTCTCAAATCAAAGTACAATTCGGGGAGGGGTGTGTGTAAATTTGCAAAATTGTAAAAATTGCAAAATTAAAAAAAAAAAAAACAAACAGAAAAATCACCTTAAAATTAACAGATTGTCTATATGCAGTTATAACTGGCAGTTACCTTTTTTTCATGAGGGAACAGGCTGGTTACAGTCCCATACCCAGAATTCTTAAAATCATAAATACTCAGGTCAAGGTTATCATCTGATACAGATTATTTTTCTCTGGGCTGGTGATAATTTCTAAGAGGATATGAGCCTTGTTTCACCTGCAATCATGATGTAATTTCCTCCCTGTCACCTCCATGTCATTTTTTAAATCCTGCAGAAGTCTCCACCACTAAGCTAGAAATGTACTGCCTAGCAAGTCCACAAACACACACGTAGCATTAGCACTGCTGTTTGCCAGTTTATTCTACAGCTTCTGTCATAAGGTGAATTATCAAAACCACAAGTGCTGTACTACCAGAGTGGCTCTTAAGCTAAAATGACCTTCTCAGTGCACTGTGAATAGACTTGATATCCACAAGCCATTGAAGTTATTTATTAGAATAAAAAGGAGGAAAATAAAAAAGAATTAAAAAGTACCTAAATAAGCAAGCACGCACTGCTTATTTTTAAGAAGGGTGCTTATGTGATTTGAATGAAGCATACACTACACAAGTTATCACGATCAATTTCATACTCACAGGTTTTAACATGTGTTTTACAATTGTAAATTTTACATGGTTATCCAAAAGACTTGCAAGCCTTTTCTCAACATACTTAGTTTGCATCTCATGTAAGTAAAACCCTTATTCAAGCTAAAATAATAGCTGTGTCAGAATTTGTCCCGTTATAAAGCAGTGTATTTAAAATTGGTAGTTTGACAGAAAACACGCTAAATGTGTTGACTGCCCAGCTCCCCTGTTGAAGCGATCTACAGTTATCATACTCACAGGGCAGTGCTATGGAAACATGAAAGTTTCAATCATTCTGCAGCAACTGCACATTCCTGTTGTGCAAAAATAAAACTGAGGCACAAGTAAAGGAAATGACTTGCCCAAAATCAATGAGTCAGCAGGACTGGAGTGTGTAGAATATGAATTTCTGAAACCCATATTTGCTACAGCCCTCCATCATTCAGATCTTGCTAATGAGGTATGTGCCATTTCAGTCACATTCCTATCATTGTAGCTTGATGAAACACAAACTCCTGTTTTTTCCCAGTCACTGGTTCCATACTGTGTCATGTTTCTTAATTGTTAGATAAGACAGCCTTTATTTCAGATGCAGTCTTCCTGCATTTTCTAAACACCCTGTAGTAAATTAGTTTCCTTACCTGATTAAAAATATTATTAGAAAAGTGCTTATGTTACGCACTTTCAGTTTATCAATTAGTAATTCATATGACTACTTGATCATTTAGGCTTTTTTATTCCATATTTGAATCTTTATTTGGTGCTGTCTGACATAGTAGGCAGTTGGCCACCTGAGAGATTGACTCTGCAACTGCTGTGCAATTTACAACCTTTGTAAATATACCCCCTCTTGCACTTCACCTAGATTTCCTAAATTGAATTCTCTCAATTTAAAAACCATACATATATGTTTAAAAAACAAAAGGCAATTCACATACTCCATCTTCTGTCAACACCCAGTGTAAAGCTCAATTAGCCTTTTGAGTAGATCTCAGTCTCTTGCATCTCTTTTCATTTTCTCTCAAGTTCCATTGGGGGCTTTTTCCTCTTCTGAAATTATATCCGATTTTCTATGAATATTGTCCTTGATTTTTCCCTTCTCTGTCTGACCGTTTGGTGTTGTTTTGGGTTTTTTTATAAACTTTTATCATTTGCTCTCCATTTTCTAGTTTTGACTGCTGTCCTCAGAAGACATAATCTAACCATTCCCAATTACCCACCTTTCAGTCACTTTCCCAGTTGTCACATCTAACTTCCCATGGTCATAACCACCTTGTTCTCCAAGTGCCACATAACATAAACCATCTTTCTATTAAAAAATTCACAACAGTCATCACAGTAAACAAAAATAATTACACCCTATTCACAGCCCAGAACCAATCTCTATTGAATAAGCCTTTCTGAAGTGTAAAAGAGGATGCTGTTATAAACTAACATGAACTACTTTAAATATTCTAACCAATTAGAAAGTGTGAATTTGGCTAGAAAAAAATAAACAGACAAATTATCTTCATTAATTAAACTCTTATTCCCTTCAGGTCATTAAGGACAATACTCAACATGGAAGGAATTTTTTTAGGTGCTTAAATTCCTTATAGGATCTTTGCTTGAGTAACTTTCTGGGGAAAAAAAAAAAAGATTTCAGAGCACATACTGAGCAGTTGTGTGTTAAGAAAACTATGAATACCTAAACCAGGAAAATGAAAACCACTCAGTAACTCAATTTTCATACCATCTATTTTATTGACATCTTTGTTCATTCGGCCCACACTTGGGAAAATAATTTTTAGTTAGACTCAATGTATGGGATTTGGAGTGAGTTTGTAAGAACAACTATTACTGTTGCTAGCAACAAGTTCTGAAATTGGCCATCATCTACTGCAAAAATAGAGGTGGTATTAAACCCTGATTGACCATTCAGAATTTGCATTTTTCTCAGTGTTTTTCCTGTTACTAGAAGGGACCACAAACATGGACTGATTCTATGGCTGAATTCAGCTGAAGCATAAACAAGTCTGATTCCATCTGAAGTAAGTAGGAACAAATTTATACCAGGACCAAATCTGCTATGTCCTATGTTGAAAACAAATATTGTTCACAAGGAATAATTAGAAAACCATGAACAAATACGCAATGGTAGGCGCATTTATATTTCCCTAGCTTAGCGAACATTACCAGGAATAGTAATCCCATTTTATTTGAGATTCTATTTCAGTAAATTCTGTACAGGCTTATATTCATGATAGTTCCTACTATAAAGAGTTTATGACCTTAAAGGCTGCTTTTTTGATTAAGATAAGACAAGAAGGGGACATGCAGAGGCAGAGATAGTAAATAGCAGTATTGTTTCCACTGCACTAGTGCTCTCCTTTTTTCTTTCTTTTTACTGTTATTTAAAGAAGACTTAATGATCTGTAACAATTCTATTATCAAAATTGTTAAATTTCCTCAATCCTACAATACTCTGAATTCTGTGTGAAGACGTAGCAGGTGGTTCTGCAAGTGTCATTAGAAACACTTCTACAGTATGGGTCCAGGAGAGTGTATTTTTGTTTGAAAAACATGTTAAGTTTTACATTTAGATATGTCATATAAAAACAGACTTTGCAATAAATTTGAGAAAGAAAAGCCTTCCTGGAAAGGTTGCTCAATATGGAGAAAAAGGTTTCTATAAATGATTCTGATTCAGACAAAATACGGCAGGGAAACAAACTTGGAGACTCTAAAATCCTGAAAACTTACAAAAATGCATTTCCTTATGTCATAAAAATACTTTTTATTCCCAATCCAACTGCTTGGCTTCTACTGATGCTGTCAAAAGCTGGAGATACTCGGCTCTGTAAAGTTTGAAGGGGCCATTAAAAAAAAATCCTTTATCTATTTAATTAGCCTGCATTCAACGGACAGTTACAGATGTCCCTGGGGCAAAGCGGTATGGCCTGGGCTCAGCTGAAAGGAGCCGTGAGAAAGCTTCAATATGAAGTCCTGGTTTTACAAAGTACCAGCTAAAGGCTCTCCTACGAGCAGCGTCGCAGCTCTACCCGGTTCAGCCGGGCTGTGGAATACATACGCACATCTACACACCTGGTGATGAGCAGTACTGCAAGTGGACTACAAGGCAGACCAGGGCGGAGGCAGATCTCCGCGTACGTTGAAGCGCCAGGTCCAGTTTAACCACAGGGAACGGCAGAGGCCGCCTCCCCTCACGGGCAGCGGGTCCCCGGGCTCGGTGGGCAAGGCCCGCTGGCACACCTGCCGGCCACCCCGCCTCACCGGACGGCCCTTTTCCCTCTCATCGCCACAGGCTCTCGCCGCACCTCCCGCACCTTTTCTCTCAGAGCCTCACGCCGGCCGCCACGCTCGCTCCCAGCACCACAACGCCAGCGCCTCCCTCACAAACGAGCGCCTCAGCCTCGCAACGACCGTTCTTCACCACGCAGCCTCTCATCACCCGCCTCATGCCGATCCCTACACCCCCACAGCCGCCTCGGCCTCGCTCTCACACACACGCATTCTTTCTCCCTCATCCCTTCCAGCCCCACAGCCTCCGAATGCTAGGTTTTGTTGCATGGGTAGACTTTGCTGTGAAGGGCACTTCAGTCTTCCCTTCTGTGTGTTGTGTCTGAGAGACTGAGGGGTATTATTGTAAATGAAATAACGTACAGTGCTCCTTTGTTAGTTGGATGCCAAAATCCTGGACA